TAGCCAGTCTCTCTCTCTCCCAAACTATTTTAATAATTCATCCCCCCACCTTCCTCCTGCCCCCACCACTGCCCAACCCGTCCAGATGGAGGCAGGAACTGCGGCACAGCGATGGTGCACGTGATCCGGTGTGCCGCAACGCGCAGCTGAGGGCAGCCCAATGCAGCATGCAACACCAGCCGTGCTCCCGTCGCATTTCTATTAGCCTCTGAAGGCATGCGGCACACGAGTCTGCATGAACAGCCCACCTCCCCCCCCATCAAAAAAAACAAAAAAACATAAACTTCATGAATCTTCTCAGGAGACCAACATTTCCTAAATCGTCATTTCTGAGCACCGGATTGATTTTGCACCAGAAGAGCGTTTCACAGACACGTTGCAGAAACAGCAGCACCTGCCACGCCCACTTTACACACCGTGTCAGCGTGCGAGACGGCGGATGCCCGCGCTCCGCATTAAGCTGACTCATCACGCACAGCACCGAGTGCCGCTCTTGGAAAGGATATGAGAGCCAGGGCCTTGTTCCGGAAGTCCACCACAGTGTAAGTGCTCACCAAGGGGTCGACGAAGCTGATCATGTGATGTGGGCACTGTGCCTGCTCCGCCGCGGTCACCTTGTTGGTGACGATGTCCAGCCCACGGTACACCTAGGAGAGCAGAGCCGAGAGGCGGAAAGGTGACCGGCGTCTCCGGGATGTTAAAATCGGGGTAGCGAATCACAGGTGACAAATCCAGCTGCCGAAAATCGCTCAATTCTCAGGAACGCACAAGGCGTGGCCCCACGCAGAATAGGGGGCGGGGGGTGGGGTGCTTCCCACACCCCCTCTCTGCTCTGACACACAGAGACAGAGGGATAATCTGCCCCAAGTCCACCCCCCCCCCCCCATTGCCCAATCCCCAATCACCCAATTTTCCCCTGAATTTGATCTTGATCCCAAAAGCAATAATGGACCAACAAAATGACCCCAATGACCAGTCACACCCGAAAGCAGTAAGATCAGCAAAACACTATTCAGCACAGACTGACACAGCAGAGTGTCCCCCTCCCTCTCTGTTAAGTTAAATGGTCCCATACCAATCACCCCACAAAAAAATTAAATAAAATAAAAAAATCTACTTCACCCACCTGATCGATACCTTGTAGGAAATTCCACCTCACCTCAACAGCCTAATAAAGGCCTGTGAAGTATTTCCCAAACAGGAAAGCAGACAAAGTACGGTGCCATGATTTTACAGCTCCCCGTCCCATGGCTAGGAAGCACACAATAACAGCACCCTTTTACGACGCTATAAAACCTGGATTGCTTACCAACCCTCCCCCGGACATCGGCGCTAACACAGCGGCCTCGGTGTCTCGGGGGGTTGTTATCTCATTTACCGGCACCGAGAACATGACTAAATCATCTTACAGGACACCCAATAAAACACAGGTAACACGAGCGCCATAAGACAACCCAATCATGCGATGTTCAATTAAACAAACACAGCGACCCCCTCGATTTGCGGTAATTCGCTTTATGTTCTTGTCAGGTCCTGAATTTTCAATTTCCCCCGATACAATTGTTCCTCGGCGAGTTGCGATTCTGATGACCTCGACAGTTTCAGCCCGGGGTTACGCTTAAAAGACAACGCATTACACACCAATTTCCTCAGCGCTGTCTGGTCAATAAACCATCATTACATTCAATTGTATTGATCATGTATTTCAGTTTGTTACTTCCATACATATTTTCCCACATGATACTTGGGAAAACTGAGGGCTTTAGGTTGGTATGGAAGAGAAAAAAAAACATTTTAGGGGGGCACTGAATGATTTACATTTCCTGGGGTATTTCAGGAACGAGTTAGTAATGTAAATTCTGGGAGGGCTGCAAGCACAGAAGGTCTCTTTAATGGTGGTTTGGCTGAATAAGAATCTTTTATAAAAAAAAATTTAAAAAAAAAAAGAAAAAAAGAGAAAAAAAGCCCCTCTTCTGTTATCCGGGATCGACAGCGATGTCACCCGTCAGGAGCGACCGCATTCCTGTCGATGGTGAAAGAGCAAAATCGATAAGCGTCTGTCCGGGTTCAGCCTCGACCCAGGGAGGGTGACAGCAGGTCTCCATCTCCAACAGGCTCCTTCCCATGTCCCATATCCTCCTTCCAAGATGCGGCAGCAAAATCAGATAAGCCCCAGAATTCCCTCTCAGAATTCCTCTGCAAGCGAAACGTGATTCCATATGAGCCCACGGGCTGCTCAGAGCGTACTTAAGATCGAAAGACCTGTCAAGGCTTACGATGAGAGCCAGGTCAAGGGCAGAGGGTGATATAACCCGCCGTGATTCGATTCAACCAATGTACCGACGGTGTAATTCCACTGGGTAAAAAGATGTCAACACTTCCGGTCATACGACGACTCGATCGGGTCACGGGTCACTTCACGAATTGTTCAAAGCGAATAAGAGTGAGCGGATGGTGAAGCCGCAGTTCTATCCTGGTTTAAGTGACGAAGATCAGACTTCAGAGAAGTGAAACCTTGCAGTCGAATGTGTACAGCAGGGGGGACTCCGTGGCTCAGGACCCGACGTTGGTGATCGGAAGGTCGCTGGTTCGCATCCCGCGGTCAGAAGAGTGATTTCACTGTTGAAAGGCCCTTGAGCAAGGCCATTAACCCCAACCGGACCGGCGGACCCTGCTTTCACAACTGTACGTCACAACAGATGAAAGCGGCTGTTAAATAAATGACAGCCCTCCTTCACTTGAGGGGGGGGGGCAGACAGCATTCGTCACGCAGTCGAAGCACAGAGCCTCTGGCCAGCACCTTGACTGTGGAGTTTGGATGCGTTTTTTTGCGGCAAATGAGTCTGCTCCAGTGCCAATAGCGGCCATGAGGTCCGCTTACAGACCACGTGGCCCCAGGGCAAATGCCCCGCCCCCTTTATGGCTTCCAGAAGCTTCCTGGTTTTGCGCCTATGCCCCATTTTCCTCATCCCCCCTGACACCACCTGTCCTGCCAGACCACCATGCCAGTCCTCCCACTTCTCCGCAGTCCCCGGCCTCTCAAGTCAGTGCCTCCATCTTCATTTCTCCGCTTCCTGTTCTTCAACGGCTCTCCTTCCGAGTCTCCTGGTCCTTCTTCCTACACTGCTGTAACATCCCCCTATCCCTACTCAGACTTCTACAGGATCCCTTTTCTCCATCCCTCCGTCCCAAGAATGACAGGACACCCCCCCCCCCCCCTCATCTCCCAGCCCCAACCAGCCCACACCCTTGCTCTTCACAGTGGTCTCTAATTTTCCTCTCTGAATGGCATCCGTATAATCCCAAACAGCTGCGGCGCGGTACGCGAGTGTCTGCGTCCGTCTCTCCGGAACGTCTTCATTAACCGGGACAGAGAGAGACGGATGGAGAGAGGAAAACAGGAAGACAGTGTCCGGCGGGTCGAGCCGGAGGACGCGATGTTCCCATGGGGTCTCACCGACACCTGGGCGCGGAACTCAAACTCGCCCTTGACAGGTAGCAGAGGGGCCGACTTCCAGCTCCACCAGGCTTCAGGACGCTTAGCGATCGCTAACAATGGCAGCGGGAAGCGTCCATGGAGAGTGTGTGGGCGCATGGAGACGGGTGGGGGGACACAAAGGGGACGGAGCGGAGCACCAGCTTGATCTTTGTGGGCGTCTGAGCGTCTGCGGCAGCCTGGCAGTGTGCGTGCACCAGCGTGTGCGAGTGCGGCCGCTCCTTTCTGGATACTTCTTTGTGCATCTATAGGTGCGTGTGCGGATCCTGCAGCTCGTCGCCACGGTGACACACACCCGAGGCGAGATGGGGGGGGGGGCACAACACAGAGCCCATTGTGTGGCAGACGGGGGTGCCCGACACCGGTCCACACGGCACCCCAGGCCACGCACAAGACAGCTGCTCCCCCGCCTGCACAGACGCGGGGGGGGGGGGGCATAAGAACGAGCAAGAGGAAGGGGGGAGGGGCGCTGTCCTCGGATTGACCCCCCCCGTTCATTCAGGATTCAGCACCCCCAGCCGCCGAACAGTGCCGCTTCTTTATTAAATTACGCGCTGCAGCAGTCACACCCCTCATCTCCTGTATCCCCCCCCCACACCAGCTCCCAACATCCTCCTTACCTCCACTGGGAATGCACCGTAATTCAAGCCTAATAAATCATTCATAGAGCGCCCCCCCACCCCCTCCCCGCACCCATCTCAAACCTAATTGGCCATGGCGTGAGCCTTCTCGGAGTACCAAAAACCACGCTGCCTTCGAATCGATCCCCCCCCCCTCCCCAATCAAACCTTTTAGTCTTTTCTTGGACAGCAGATGGAGGAAGGGCGCTTTCTAAGCACTTAAGAGGCATCGGGCAGCTCTTGGGGGAGGGGGGGGGGGCTTTTGGCAAAAGACCCGGTTTCCTCTGGCGTCAGACGCCCCGAGCTGTGAAGTCCCCTTCGCAGCGACCCGCTACGGTAAACATTAACACCACAGTGCGATCGCGGCAGCGGGCCCAGACCAGAACCTGCACCAGAGTGTGACCCATTTTCAGTCAACCGGGACATAAGCACCCCTAACCCAAATACGCCCCTCTGGGAGCTGCGGTTTGGGGGTCCAGACCAGACACATGACGATCCTGGGGTGCTGGGGGCTGACCCCCCAGAATGAATATGAACAAGCCCCAGATAATTTGTGTAACTTGGGTGATATAACAGTCATGCCCTCAGTTTGAGAATCCCGTAAGAACCTCCGTAGTGCTGCGATCGCATCATCAGAGAGGGACAGTATGAGGGACAGGTCAGGTGTCTGGGCCACAGCCCAGATGTCTCCCAGTGTGAGAAACCCTCACAGAAGGAGAAGATTTAGTACTGAGAAGCACTAAAACAAGCAGGCCTCTCAGAAGACAATGTCGGGTAAGTTTAGAGAGGGAGGTGGGGGGGTTGATAGATAAATGGCTAACCCTAACAGAAAAATGTGTTATTAAACAAAGAAATAAATATCTTAAAGCATGATGATCACCTTTCAGGATGACATACATCAAAATCCGAGCCAGTGAAGGTAACTCTGCCAGAAAGTAGGTTAACAGGCCGTAGCTGGATTCAATTATCGCCACTGAGTGGCGGCTTACTGTCTAAGAAATCACACAAAGCGGGGTTATGACATATTTTCTCGCTGGCCTTTGGCTGCCATTCCCCCACAGGTCCTCCGTAAGCCCCTCCCGTTCCGGCATTTAATTTCACGACGGGATGTTGAGTCTTAGTCAAACGTCAATCTCCTCACCCGCTCTTCACTCGGCCCCCACGCCCCTCGGCCTGACTGACTTTGATTGAGTGCCTATCCTTGTAAACACATATAATGTTTTCTCGTCATCTTGTGTCGGTCAAATTTATTGCCTATATTTCTCACTATACTCACCGGCACTCAGCTCCACCCTCACCCCGTGCGCAAGAAATCCGCTGATAATTAGAACGATAACGGCGCTGCTTCAGGAAAGCTGTCATTCAAGGAACGACAAGGAGCAGAGCCGTGACTGTTCAGTGTAACTGCCGGTCTTCCAAGAAGAGCTGCTGCACATCAGTAAGTCTCGCTAAAGAACATGGAACGGAGGATCAGACAGCGCGAGCCTGGTCAGACTGAGGTTCCTGTTCCCCCCCCACCCACAACCCGACTCAGTGGGGGAGGGCCTGTCAGACTCTTCAGCTGGTTGGTCATTCTTTTTGCGGTCTGACCCATTAAATCGCCCCAGGGCAGTGCAGGGACCTCACGCGAGATGGAGACACATCACACACCAATTCACACCCCTCCTCCTCCTTTTGTTCCCTTGCCCTGAACCAGCATGTCAGTCAATCACAATGTGCTCGTCACCCATTATTCCCTATTATTCTCAGCGCTCATCTCCAGCGGACGTGCCGATCGCGGCCTGACCCGCCGTTAGCCGAGCTTTGCTGTGACTTTCCCGGCCGGGTCCGTCCTCAATACAGGACCTCCAGCCTCCCGCTTGAATAAACACTCACATACATTCTGAGAGAGACACACACACAGAGCATCATGCTAACACTCCGGCAGAACCTCCAGAGGCCCGGCGCTCATTGTGGCTGCGACTGACTCGGGCTGAGAGATCTGCGGGGCCCACAGCAACCCCAGAGGTGATGCCAAAGATATCCAAGGCTGGAATTCGATTAGCGTAACCTAGTTAGCCGTACCGAGTGACTGGCGGCCAGGGAGACTACAGCAGATACACCCCCCCCCCCCCCCCCCCCAAGGGATTGGGCCATCTCGATGGCGATGTGCACAGGTGAACAATTGGGGAGGGAGGAAAAAAAAAAAAGCGAATGGAAAATGTGAGTTAGTGAAATATTTCATCCTAAGAGCAAAGCTGACCTAAAATAAAAGGGATAAAGAAAAAGACGACGACCTTCAGGGGCAGCTAAACTAAAGCAGGATACGGGAGTTTTTTTCGTTATTTTCTCACTGTATGTTTGTTCTGAAGGTCACGACGGCAGCTTCAGTGTGGGGGCACACGTGACAATCCCCGGCATTAATTCACTGCGGCTCACGGACCCCCACGTAGAAACGGCACCTCCCACTTCGATGAAACGCCCTGACTTTTCCCGCGCCCCTCCTCGTAAAACTCCCACGCTACACGCCATTCTTCCCATCCCTCTGGACCTCGGGCTGTTACCGGGGGGAGGGGGG